TCTGCTCGAGTCTTGTGAAGCCAGGGCCCAAAACGCCACAGGATGGCAGCCATTTTAAGGGTCATTCTGTCGAGGTGAGCCTGCATAGACAGAAATGAGAATCGACACATTTGGGATTTAGTCTCACATGTATTCAAATGCGGCAGTTTTACCTTGTTTAAGTCAATTTGGCCATTCTGTAGAAGATGCAAAGCCTGTGGACAGAAAAGAGACAAATTAGTTGGGCTTGCTCCAAATGGTTCACAATTTAAATTCCACATTGAAACGCACAGCAAGTGCCCCATTTTAAGATTTGTACCTGTGAACAGAAATGACACAATTAGTATGCACACATGCATATTAGTTCGGTTTAATTGTGAATTTAGAAATGAGTTTTGTCTACTTACCCGCTCGACGAACGTAGCTTTCCTAGGAAGTTGGGGGAAAAAAAAGCGTTTGTTGCAAAGGTCGCAGGAGGCGTTAATTGCAATGCTCGAGCAAACATTTTTGCTTTGCGTGTTTGCAAGGTGTGAGCACGTTTAAAGTGGTGCTTTCCGTTCAAAGTGAGGGAAAGCGTTGTTTTAAGGTACTATTAAAGAGTAAAAGTCACCTTGTTGGAGATTTCCGTGATCTTGACAGGCGTGCGGAGCAGGAGCAGCGTGTGGACGAGCGGAGGCTGTCGAAGGTGAGACAGAATGATTGCCTTGTTTTTCCGATTTAAATAGGTTTCCGGCGATGACGTCACTTCCGGAAAGAAAAATAAAAGCATTTAAAACAGGAAGTGAGTCACCTTGTTGGAGATTTCCGTGATCTTGACAGGCGTGCGGAGCAGGAGCAGCGCGTGGACGAGCGGTGGCTGTCGAAGGTGAGAAAGAACGATTGCCTCGTTTACCCCATTTAAATAGGTTTCTGGCTGTGACGTCACTTCCGGGAAAAAAATAAAAGCATTTAAAACAGGAAGTGAACGTGATTATTTTGTGTGGAAAAAAGTCCGACCGAAATGATGCGATTTTGCCGAAAGACAAGAGCTGGGCTCGAACCCGAGTTCACCAGTCCGCACTCCATGTCGTATACCATTGAGCTATCATGTGACACTGACAACGCTGTTTTCATATGTTTATTTAAAAGAAGAAGTGAATTTGAAGAGCGAAATTACAAAATGTTTTGCCTACTGGCAACAACCGGAGTCGAACTTGAGTTCACCAGTGAGGACTACTTGTCGTATACCATTGGACTATCGTGTGACGGTGGCAAGAACGGCTTCTGCATGTATATTTAAAAGAGGAGGTAAATGTGTGAAATCGAAACTATAGTTGGGTTCGAACCCTAGTTCACTGTTCGGAACTCCCTGCATTATACCACTGGACTATAGTTCGACAGTGGCATCTGTCCCCAGTAGGTGTCTGTATTGTGATCAGATTGTACCGTTCAACTTGGATAGCCTGGATAGCTCTATAAATATAACCACCCGAAATGTGACATCGTTGATCTGGCGTGGTCAAATGGATAAAGACATGACGTTGTGCCCGGGTTCGAATCTTGCTAAATTTACAAATCATGCCCATGGTGGGGCTCGAACTCGCTTCGCATGATTACCTCGCAACGTCTTTTACCATTAGGCTATTCTGACGGGAAAATTTCAAAAAAAAATATTTAATTATTGGTGCTAAAACGGTTAACGTTGCCCCCTAGAAAGCTGTCAACGGCACTCAAACCTAACCCATCAGCCCTCAACACGCCAGTTTCTCCTTCCGCTCCCTTCATCACGCCATCCTGAGGTCAGGAGAGGGAGTTTGCAAAGCCAACTTGATTTGAAATTGAAGACGAGTATCACAAAGAGACTGTGTGGTTTGTTACTTTGCTTTATTGGCGATTGTGAATCAAGGGCTTGAATAAAAAAAAAAACAAACACGTTTCTTGTCTGTTTCAGTCACAAATAAAACATCCATACACACACTTCCATTTTTTTTTCTTATATACTTTTCTGAAGGCCAGTGTTTGGAAGAACAAAATCTTTCTTATGAGATTCAATGAACCATCTGAACGAGAAAGCTGCCCCCTGGGACAGCCGGAGCTGGAATTGAACCCTGCGCCACTGCACTGGGAATCTGTCGCGCTCAGCAGTCTGGCACAGCTCCACACCCACCCCCCTCATTGTTCCTATTATTATGAAAACCTGATCCACCCACCCCAAGTGCCCCCCTCATTGTTCCTATTATTATGAAAACCTGATGTGCTTGGGGGGGGGGGGACACAATCCAGAACAAGCTTGCAGGCGTGATTGCTTCCAAAGTGATTTAATTGGCATGAAGTGACAGAGAGTCGCAATTGCTGCATCCAAAGACGCTCAAGTGCTCACGAGGAGTAAAAAGTGCCGATGACCCGAAAGACGTCGGACGTGCCCTGGTAGGGCGTGATGACCGGTCGCAGGCCTTTCATGCTCTTGTAGTGTCCGAAGTGTTTGATCCTGTAGGACGCCGCGGCGGCGTTTGTCGGGATGTGCCACTCCACCGTGGCGTTGCTCTGTCGATCGGAGCCTTTCACCCAGCTGAACCTGCATGGGGGTGCGCGGGCGACACTCGGTCAGCTTTCCCGTCGTCGCTGGCGGCCGAACGGCGCTTTGCGTGCACACACACCTGGTCTCCCACGACGCGTCGCTGTGGACCAGCGTCCAGGTGTCGCTGGTGTTGTCGTGCATCTCCACCGCCACAAAGCTTTGGTCTCTCTGATGACGGAAAGACAAACCCAGAGAAAGCAATAAAACCAGAAAGCCGACTCCGCCCCCCTAAAAAAAAAAAAAAGACAACACAAGCAGCCGAGGAGTGTTTTCTCACCACGTCTCCCGAGTGTCTGGGGTTTCCTGCCACAAAGGTGACGGACACCACGTCACCCTGGAAACCAAACCCCGCCCACCAGGGCATCCGTCATCAGACTTCACTGACTGTGCATGTGTGTGAGTGTGTGTGTGTGCCATACCTGTCTGTAGATGGGAAGTACCTGCTGCAGGACGTCTCCAAAGCTGCTGTTGTCCGGTTTCCTGTCAGTCGCCGCTGCGGCTAACAGGTTGAAAAGATTCTTCTGAAAGAACGGAGGCGGCGGACCCAGCGGGAGCGACCCAACTTGGTCCTGCAAGATGACATCATCGCTCGAGTTGGTCATCCTGCAATCTGTTTGCTCGAGTCCGAGGAATGAACCCGTTTTTGGGGGTTTGGGATTGAAATTGTGATTCCAGACCACACAAGTTTGTTTTTTTTAATCTCGGTTGTCATTATGATTCCCGCCACTCAAGCTAACCAATCAGAAGCAAGCTGCTGTTTTTGGGTTAGCAACAGGGTCCCCTCGAGCCTTTTTGCCAACCACGAGCCCACTGTGCCGCCCATCCTCATTCTCATCTTGCCGCATGCGTCGACAAACACGTGGTCGAATCTTTTGACCGGTTCTCTTGCGGGTTTTTAATTGCTCTTTTCCGAGACGGCGGTCGGGGGTCTCACCCGAGCGATGGCGCGCGCCAAGTCGCCGAATTTCAGGATGTACGCGCTGAGCGTGTGCGGGCCGTAGATGGTGGAGGCGCCCTCGTACCTCTGAACCTGGACAATACACCTTCATCGTTATCATCCTCGGCCTACTTACCTCACATTTTGGAGTGTGTGTGTGTGTGTGTACCTGGTACTCCTCATATGTGGTTATGTAGTGTGTGTACACATTGCTTAGGCCTGCAATCACCACATCCACGCCCGAGAATGCTCCGTTCGACTGAAGTGCCTAACGCGCACACACACACACACACACACACACACACACACACACACACACACACACACACACAGTTTTTGACAAGGTATCAAGTAGGAACTTCGGATGTGCGCGTACATTTCTGTGCGTGTGTCTATGAACACTTACCTGTTGTACAGCTTCCCTCAACCTTCTGCCTGCCATGGTGCTGTCTCACACGCACACACAAACACAACCTCATCATTGTTGTTGCATCACAGCACCGATTTTGCGCATGAGTGTGTGAGCGTTTGTTGTTACGTCATCTCCCCAGGAACAGCGACAACCGCGACAGATCCAACGGTGACGATCTGCACATCAATGATTTCCGGGTGCCATGGCAACGGCCAGTTCATCTGCACGAGCGCACACACAAAAGCGGCCCGTTGTATCATATTTGAGACAATTTGAGAAGCGGGCGACGCTTGCGCTCACCTCTCCCGTGCTGAACAGGATCGGTTTGGGCTGGTGACATTCCTGCGTCTGATTGGACGGCCGGCCCAGGAGGGTGTCGCGGATGCCGTCCCAAAATGGGTCGCCCTCCACCGCCCCTACACACGCACGAAATAACTTCGGTTGACACTTATTTGAGGTGCGATTGCTTACGTGAGAGAGTAAAATGCATGAGAGCGACCTTGAGTGAAGTTGAGGTCTCCTCCTCCGTCTGTGGTGCCTGCCGCAAAACTGTGACCCAGCGCCGGCTTGCATGTACTCACCTGCATGCGGCGTTAGCAAAATGCATCGTTAGCTTGTGCGCACGTGTGTGTGTGTGTGTGTGTGTGTGTGTGTGTGCGAGAACTGACCGCATGTGTATCATTGATGAAAACCGTGACATCCGTCATGTTGACCCACTGATGAGCTGAATGAATGAAGCCCGTCACTTCCTCAACCGCATCAGCGTAAAGTTCCTGCAAGCACACACACACACACACACACACACACACGCAAAGGCCACTATGAGGTCACATTTTTCCCTCTCCCACACACACACACACACACACACACACACACACACACACACACACACACACACACACACACCCTACCCTTCCTGAAGATGTTGTGTCCAATGATTCTGGTGCTGTCAAACATGTCCTCTCCGGGTCCAAACGCTTGACACTCTTTCGTCTGAAACACACACAAACACTTCCTGTTGACTCTGTGCGCGCGTGCGTGCGCGTGTGTGTGTGTGTCCATGTTTACCCCTCCATCAGGACACGAGCTGTTCAAGTAGTCACAGGCTAATCCAGAGTTGACACAGTGAGGACCTTCGATGTTTGGACTCACGTCGCCGAGGTTACTGGAGGAGAAAGCAGCCATGAAAGCTGCCTGACACACATACACACACACAAGCACACAAAAAAACACACGGAGGGTCAGATTCATCTACTAGAGGGTTGGACTCCAGCACAAGAAGGCGATTCCGCCATTGGCCCCCCCCTCAGTGAGATTGAGGCTGAAACGCGGTCCTGATTCTTCACGTCCCTAATTTGGACTTCAACGTGACGTCACCTGTCCGGGTAGCGCCGCGGGGTTCTTGTGGTTCTCCATCAGGTAGGAGGCGTAGCCCAGGTTGTCGCTGCTCACCAGACGATTGGTCGTCTTCATGCTGACCGCGTGCACGGCGAACCAGCTGGGAGAGGACCGATTGCGGGAGTCAGAGCGGGCGGGCCCCGCGTGCTTCGGCCGCCATCTTGCCCTCGCTACGCTCACCTGAGCACGCCGATGCCGTCTCCGTCCGCATCGGTGAACTTGAGAAGCACGATGTCCCTGTCCACGTCGTCTTCATACCTGAAGGGCGATCAGAGTCGGTGACGGGCGCCTCGTCGCCGACGGCCGACCCGTCGGACACGCCG